AATTCAATTTTTCACATTTGCAACAAACAGATGAATAATAGCGCAGAAATTAATGGCGCTAATACAAGTCAATTTTGAGCATTCTACAAAACAGTTGCACCATTTTGAGACTAACTGGACGTAAAAGATAGGAACCAATCATTGGACAAATACTTATTAAATTTTCAGGAGAGATAGTGCTTGCGATTTCTGTACGACATAACAATGCCGTACGACATTTCATGGTGAATCAGGATCAAGATGGTTCCTTCTATTGCGAACATCATCACGAGAAGAGCGTATCCGATCTAATTCAATATTATAAAACAACAAAAGAACCACTATCTGCTTCCAGTCAAGCACGCCTTCGCCGACCAATCGAAAGACCCCAATGGCTTCTAAATCATGATTCCATCAGACTTGTTAAAAAACTCGGTGAAGGTGCATTTGGTGAGGTGAAATGAACTTTTCCGTTCAATATTATGGTTCATTATCAGAGGTTAATTCAATTAAGACTAGTAATTTCAGTTAAGAATAGTAATATCAATGTAAATAGTACATTAAAACAATGAAACGAAAACTTTAAGGTATTTCTTGCGGAATATTCATTTGGAACAGAAAAGCAAGAAGTGGCAGTAAAAACGATGCGTCAGGAAGCAACACGTGAAGCTCGATTAAAATTTATGAAGGAAGCGAGACTGATGCGTCGTTATGAACATAAATACGTAGTACGTATTCTTGGCGTAGCCGTACACGAGCATCCACTAATGATTATCATGGAGAATTGTCCTGGTTCGTTTTTTCTGTGTTTCTATAAAATCATTCAATCAAAATCGCTATTTTTTCATGATTCCCATTTAATAATGCTTGATTGGGAATTTTAGATTATATATCAAGTTTATTTTACTAATTCTTCATTGACAAAGTATCATATTATTGATGAAATTAATAGTGTATTCATTAGTATCAAAAGTAATACATAGTAATTATGATATCTAATAAGGCCTTAAAAGCCTTATAAAGCATGTTTTAGGTGGATCGTTATTGTCGTATCTACGAAAAGAGAGGGGAAAAATAACACTGATTACGAAATTACGTTTTTCCACTGAAGCAGCAGATGGGATGGCTTATTTACATAAGCAAAAATGTATCCATCGAGATATCGCTGCACGTAATGTTTTATTGAGCGCCAAACTTGACGTGAAAATTAGCGATTTTGGTATGTCTGATGATCGTCTAATCGTGCAAGATGACAAATTAGAAAAGGTAATAAATGAAACGAAAACCACACTCGGTTTACTTTCTTCCTAATATTGTGTATTGACTGCTTGAATTGATGTTCAATAATTATGCTTTCAAATAAACTTTATGAATAGGAAGCAATATTAAATAAATTTTAGTTAGAATAAATGCAAGAGTAAGTGAATAAAAAAGCAATAAGTATGAGAAATTGAAGAAGATTTAGTTTAATAGGCCAAGAAAATATGGGATAATGCTGCGTGAAGCCTAAGTAATGAATTTAAAGAATGGATGAAAGCTTTCAAGTCAAAAGGAAATGTCAGCTTCACATATCTTATTTTCCTTTTTAGGTTAAATTAAACTAATAGTTTAACTCGGTTTGACCTTTCACTTCAAGTTTTCATCTTTTTTTAACATATACAAAGATCCGTTTCCGTACAATAAGTTACATTGTTATATTCAGGAATCATAATACCTATTGAATTTTAAAGTAAATTTCAAGTAAACTCAGAAAAAGTTATCACACTTGTCAAGATACTGTCAGCATGTGGATTAGGCAGAACAACCCATAACCTAATACAGTAAATTTCTGTTCATCCGGTCGTAATAGTATTGTTAAGAGAGGGTATGTTTGAAATGATCAGAGAAGCTAAGATTTAATAAGTAAAATTAAATTGTTAAAATAAATTTTATAGCATATTTGTAAGCTACAAATATATTTTAAATATATTTTTGTAAGCCTTTTTATGGGGAAAAAAGAATATGAGGAATAAAATGGATCTGTAATAGGTACCAGTGAAGTGGTTAGCACCAGAAACGATGCAACAAAAGGTTTACTCGAATAAAACTGATGTGTGGTCCTACGGTGTGCTCGTCTGGGAAATTTATTCTGATGGTTTGGAGCCTTATCCGGGACTAAGTAATATTCAGACACGTGCAAAAATTGTCGTGCAAAATTATCGAATGGAAATGCCCAAAGTATGACTTCCCGTTAACGCATTTCATATGAATTTTTGTGCGATCACTCCTCACATCATCTAATTGTTCATATTGCAGGAAACACCATCCGGAGTGGTCAAATTAATTCAACAATGCTGGGCTAAAAATCCTGAAGAGAGACCGGACTTTAGCAAAATATTCAAGACTCTAAAGAGTATGAAAGCTTGATGGATATCTCAGATATGGAAAGCAAAATTTCTTATTAGTAAACATTTGCGCGCTGTCCACAAGCGCTTTACAGAACACATTGCTGTTATGCAAACATGCAATAATTTTGCATATGCAAGAAATGATATTATTAACTATCTCATTATTCTGATTACATGAATGCTTGTATACTTTCATCATTTTGCATAAACATATGGAAAGCCCTTAAATATGATGTAAAAATATTGCCGCATTTCATTTCAACGTTTTTACTTCAACCAGAAAGGCTGGTCTTTGGAAGATCCGTTATAATCCAAGTCTCATTCGATAAATCAAGTAAGATTGGTGGGAAAAGTTTGCAAAGTGATAAGATTCTATAAAACACCACATGAAATGCCGCTAGGCAGTTTACTCTTCCTTTTGTCCCATCTTATTACTATTTATCCATGTGATAGAATGATACGTAAAAAATTGAATTTAAAATTGCGGCTGGAGTCAATATCCTCTAAATTGCTCTTTATCTGTATAAGTCAATAAAAGTTTAAAATTTACTTTCTAAATGTTAAGATTTTCAAGCTATTATCCCATTCATTAGTAAATCTAATAACCTGCGTAAGTAAATCTAGTCAGTTCTTCGACTTTCCGTTATCTGGCAAATTAATACCGGAAGGCATCGTAGGTTTGTTTTAGTATGTCTGTGTAAAATATTACAATATTGTGTACTACTCCATAACACTCTTTGATAACGAAGATTAATTGCAGGATGATAAAGAACGTGAAACAAACTGTCGACCTCATTATAACCGTTATTTTAATAACGATAACGGTAAGCATAAAAGCTCATTCCGAAACAACTGTATTTTTATTTATTATTCAAATTTAGCATACACTACAATTTTAATCAATGACTAATTCACTTCAATTTTACAGTTTGATATCACCGTTGCGGCAGGTATGCAGATTTTAATTTATTTTCTATAATAAAACTCCTTGGAAAATTTTCCGCACTGTATTAGGATTAAAATGTAAATAGGGTGATTTCAAGTCGTCCAACTAATTCTTCCAGTCTTCTATTTCCAAAGCTTTCGCATTAAACTCCTTTTTCACTGTGCTACTATTCTCAATCATCTCGTCTACTAATGAAGATATTTTGCTCTCCTTCGATAAAATACGTTGCTAATGATGGATACTACCACCCATCGAAACAGTATCCATTCATTTTACACTTTCACCTTCTTCTTGCATTCATACAACTCATCATAAAAACATAGAAATTTCGTTCTATTACAAATTAATCACTGTGCTAATAATGAATTTCAATGTCTATTATGTTTTTGGCAGAAATTCTAACACCAACTACTGAAGTTGAACAATCAGAGATTTCAAACATTGTCTCTGAAGCCGAAGGTGAAGAGGAGAGCAACCTTTATACAACTGCGGTCACCACAGTCGTATCGGAAATCAGACAAGTGATTAGTAGAAATTCTCATATGAAAAAAGTCACAAAGGAATTTGGCGAATTTGAAGATCCTGAAGTTCACAACACTGACAACGTGGAAGATGTTATAGAACATGACGACATGGAAGATGTCGTAGAACATAACAACATGAAAAGTGTCGTGGGACGTGATAACGTAAAAAATATAACTGCGGTTAATAGAAATTCTGCAACTCCAGAACACGGGAATTTTCATGTAATCACATCTACATTTCA